ATGATTCCACCAAAGCAGCTCCATGTGAGCCCAGATGTTCCACATGGTCACCTCAACCAATATTCACCACTTTTACCTTCTGTAATGCTGGATGGAACACATGGAGCAGCGTCAGAAGACTGTGCTGCTCATCTCTGATCAAGTTCAGCTCCCTGAACGGAAGCACAACCACCACACTGACGTCCTGGTTTTCTCGGCCCTCTGCCCAGTCCAGACTGAACTTCTGCACTGAGAAGGTTTTTCCCACGCCAGCCACGCCGTTGGTCAGGACCACTCTGATGGCTCTCTGCTGCTCAGGGAAGGCTTTAAAGATGTCCTGGCACTTGATGGGAGTGTCACGGAGGGTCTTCTTGGAAGCTGTCTCCAACTCCATCACCTCATGTCTGGTATCAACCTCTTCACTGGCTCCCTCTGTGATGTAGAGCTCAGTGTAGATCCTGTTGAGGAGAGTATCACCTCCTGTTGCATCACTTCCTTCAGTCACATGTTCACATCTCCTCCTCACACTCATCTTATGTTCCTGCAGAACCTCCTGCAGACCAGCATCTGCTCACAGACCAGAGAGACAATCAGATGGAACAAACACAAACATCTTTCATGTGTGGACAACACAACACAACAACAAGTGCAGTTTTCACACATCAGTCCATCAGCACACGTTCAGTCTTACTTTGCACACTGTGTCTTTTGAGTTATTTCAAACTTTACAGAAATGATAATACAAACTGTGAAAGACTGGACGACACCTTACGTTCTACTTTCATTTTATTTTGGAGCTGCAAATGGTGACTCTAATGCTTATTGTCATGACAAGTGAACTCAACTTTAAAAGTCAACTCTATGCTCTGCACAGATCAGAAAAATTAGATTTCCTCTTGAGAAAATGTAATTTAACTGGAGCTCTGATATCAATCCTTCGATTATGCAGCGATGCGGTAGATCACCACTGCCACAAGAAGAAGATCCTAAACATCAAGACAAGTATTTATTGCAAAAACTAAAAGATGATGAGCTAACGAGGCACTGGAAGGTAAAACACATAGACAAACATTCAGATTTTAACCATGAATTGTTTTTCTTTCTTCCTGCAGCCTCCACCTCAACAGAAAACTGCCATGACAGCAAATTCCCCAAACGCTTCTCTGACCCGATGAAAGACTCCGACTGGCTCAAACCGACACCAAGTCTTTGGGTTGAAATGGTACAAACTCACAGTTCAATATTTAACTCGTAGGTCTTTCCTTAATGAACCCTCATCTGCTCCTCCAGTGACCTTTAGTGACCTTTAGTGACCTTCAGTGACCTTCAGTGGCCTTTAGTGACCTCAACAGGGCGAGGATGACACCTGATCGTATTCGGGACATTTGAGGAGAGCCGGGTAGCTGGCGCTCATCTGCAGGGAGGCTTCGCTCGAGATGTCCGAAGGGCTTCGTCCACGCGACCAGGCCTCCGGGTGGAGGAACTGGCCCGAGTGGTCGGAGCAGTTGCTGAAGCGAGGCCGGTAGAAGTTGGGGTGGCGCGGCTGGTAGATCTCCTCCGCTGTGTAGCGCTTCATGAACAGGTAGACGGACATGACACCAGCACTCTGCAGCGAGAAGGAACCAAAATAAATGAAGCAAAGTACATGAAAAATAAGTTAAACTCAGAAATTATTTTATGCAAACGAACAAAACATGGAACTAGAAATCTTAGTTACTCGCGGTTTACCTTCATATTCTGGTAGACTGATCACATTCAACACTGTAAATACTGACATTTCTGAGCTTTGTGATGGTTATATGTTATTGATTCATATTAATAATCATGTAGTATTGCAGTTTCTCACTGTGACCACTGGAGGGCAGCGAATACCCATGATTCAACCAGAAGAAACTTTCAAAACCACCAAACATAAGGTGGACAACACATTTAGAAAGGTTGTGTTTATTGCTGGGCACCTCTAAAATTGCAGAGAAACAAAAGGATAAAGTCGCAGTAATTCAAATATAATTCAAAACTAAGTGAGCAGAAATATGATAAAAAATAACCACACTAAGTGTTGTGTCGGTACGATGGTCGGGGTTTTGTTCTGCCTCAGAATCACCCAACAGTTAGCGCCATCAGTTCTGTATACAGCATTCTATGCATTTTCCAGATATTTTTTCTCCTGCTAGAAAAACCGTGAAGGTTCTGGGTTCAAACCCGAAAAATAAAACCGCAGTGCCTCAAATCGCCACCTGACTGCAAAAGTGAGTCCATCCCCATAAAACCCAAAGTCAAAATGTCCAACGCAACAACAAGACAACAAACGTGAGTGCAGCCTGCTACAAAAAACAGTTTTGGTCTCAGTAGATCATTTCTCTGCTCATGATGACGGCATTTATGGTGAATTTTAATAAAACTGACCCACAATAATTTCATCAGTGCTAAAAGTTCTGCAGATGTAATCAAGAGGAATTGTTGTGTTTATATTTGGTGTTTTTTAGACCTGTGAATAAAAGTTTTTGTTTTTTTTATGTTTTAGGATCTCTAAATATTTTTGTGCAGATATTCAACAGTCACTCTCTCACCTCAGTGAGCAGGAAGGAGAAGGCAGCGAAGGCGAAGGACCAGCCGTACTTATAGGAAAAATAGGCCTCGCTGCTCTTCGTCCTGTTCAGCATTTCATCGTTTATGCTGGAGATGTACAGCACCAGACCCACCACCAGAGCCAGACCTGACAAAATCGAACAAATCCAGAATCAGAGAAGGAAAAAAAACAAGAGATCATCCAGAGGAAGGAAGATCCATTTACCTGAAAGGATGAAGAAGATTCCAGAGACAAACGCCAGGATGGTGCGGTGAGGACGGACGTGTCCGATGTTGTTCAAGACGAAACCGATGAACATGAAGAAGAGGCTGACCAGCGGGAAGGGAGTGGCGGACCGGATCATCTCTGAGGAGAGAGAAAGCTGTCAGTTTACCAGTTAACCAGAGAAGCACTCAGAAGAGTAAAAGTACTATATATATGCCACATCCATCCATC